ATGTATTAGAGTGAATATTATGAAAAATTATCACCTATTTATTGAAAATCGAAAACAACAATACATTTCTGATGCTGAACTTATTGATTTAACAATGAATCACAAGAATTACATCGAAACAGATTTGACTAAGAACATGGATTACACAGTTTTGTTGTATCTTGAGCAGAAAGTCTATGCTACATAGGTAAATTCATGTCAAGAGTTGTAAGACATAATTGATCATCACTGAAATGACCTAACAGCTGATCTTCAACTGTCAAGAAGAATTAAACATTCTCAAGAAAAGAATATAGAATCGTTTTTTCTTCGAAACGTAGGACATTTTGAACATTTACTCTAACTGATTCAATATTTCATGTTTCAAATCAAATATCTCTTAATTTTCTACTCATGATTCTTTCTTTCATCAATAACTTCAGAACAAGAATGATTTCATTGTTTTTGAATCTGAATAAATTGGTAATAGAACTCAATGAAATTCATTTTATACCAGCTTCAGCTATTACTCCATTATTTTCAAATCGAAATATTCCGTAAACGGAACATAGTATCGAGTTTCACCAAGAGTACCTTTTTGGTGTAAAATTGAATGATGTTCGAGTTCATATCATATTTGGATTGAAAAATATAACCTCAAAAAAGTTATGTTCTAAACTACTCGGTACGAACCCTGTAACTAGCGCCCTCTATGAGAGTCAGATATGAAAACAAATTCATGTGATGTGACAGATTTCAAGAAACATTCATACAAAATTTCATTACAATGTTGCCAGTAGTTTCGACATAATCGTGAAAAATGTGTAAAAAAATAATTTTATCAACACCTTGTATCATGAAAACGAATGCCGTTACGACATTTTTTCACTGAGCAAACTCAACTTATTTTGCAGTGTTCTACCTACCCTAGCAAGGGTCAATTAGTCAATTAAGAAAGTTAAGAAGTCATTGTGAAAAAATCTCCCGAAAGAAATATTAATTTATATTCAAGAATTTGAGCCACCCTGTGTATGTTTGAAGCCTGCTTGGTGGTCTATTTATTTATTAACTTTTCTTATATTTTTTTCTACAATATGAACAAGAGGATGAATTGAATATGGTGAAGCCATTCATCGTGCTTTGTGTCTTTCAAAAACCGTTATTTTACGACAAAAAGTGAGTGAAAACACAAAGATCAGGAGTTCTATGATGGACAAATGTAGGAAGTGGCTTCACCATAGGCCATATAAGTAAGAAAATCGTACCTATTCATTAATATTATTATTAAGAATTAGTATTTTTATTATGTAGCTTTCTTGCACAATAAATGATAATTGCTTTTTGCAATCATTTTCCCTGAAGGAAAATTTTGTTCACTATAATATGTATAATAGTTTGATTCTAATTTGAGATTGATATTTATATAGAACATCTTGGATATTACGTCAGTTCAAAAAAATTAGTTAGATCTTTAATATTGTGGTATTTGACGTAACGATATCCCAGAAAAATATGATAATCACTCAGCTATGACTTAATCAACTTTGAGTTGATAATGTTTTTTCCTAAGCCTATTTGTGATATTTTTATTGACTCGAATTTATGACAAATATGTTGCATATTTAGAACTATTCAGAAAAATTTTCAAATATTTTCTTTCGAGTTGATATCACAAAGAATAACGATAAGAACATGTTCAACGATTTGTGGATTAATATACACTATACAGTGTCATCAAATTTTCCTTATCACTAAATTACAGCAATATGTTGGATGGTATATACTGCAGGAATGAGTGTAAAATTCCGATTCAATATTTTCACATACAATTTGAATGACTTCCATTGTGAAATGAATGTATTCCATTTCATTAATTAAGTATGTCCGTAGGTACAGGGTGATCATTTCAGTTCACTGTACCATTTCCAATTATTTTCGATTTTATATCAATCAAAATGATAATGTACAGTTGCAAGGTCATGTATGGGAGTTTCAGAAATTTCACTGTCTCAGCAAAATATTGAAGTAAACCAGAGAATTAACTCAGAGCATTTTCGAGAATGAAGTTGAAAATGTGGAATTTTTAGTTAGTTACGTTTGATTTTCGAATTAAAATTTTTCAATAATTTGAAGTCGAAATCTTTATTCTCTGTTCGAAGTTAATATCCTTGAATTAGGAGGAAGAATAATCAACATGAAAGTTCTTAACCTTGAAATATGTGTATAGGTACACTGCTGCCCAATAAAATCGTAACGACTCGTGTCCTGATTTCCTCAAAATATCTGCTCATGGCCACGGACTATTATATCTATCTTCATTACACAGCATGACCGCGACAGTAGGTAGTTTCCTATACTTGAATCCTCTTATTATCTGCCTTCGTGGTACGGTGTGAAAAAGCAGATAGAATGAGTAGTGAAAGTTTATTCCATATTTTGGTTCAATATCATTCATTTTAAAATATGGAAGTATGGGAGCTTGTGACATAAAAGTTCCTAGGCCTGAAGTATCTAAAGAAACTCAATATTATAAGAGTTTTAAAATCTGGATATTCATTCCATTGGAAATGTCGGTAGTTAAAATATTAATTGTCGTTAATGAAACTATTCTATCAAATTGAATGAATAAAATTCAATAATATGATTCGTAGAGTGCATTCATGAAAGCTGATCTGCTGATTTTATTTACAAAAAAATCTGCACGGTCTTACATATACATTTCTCGCAAGCAAATGAAAAGAACTTTGGTAGTTTTCCGAGATACAGGCTTAAACAAAATATACCAATATAGCGCAAGATTCGTTACGATTTATTTGGGCCCCAGTGTACATAAATTCCGACAGACCGATTTTTCAAAAGTGCAATTTGATTTTCTGACTTCAAAGTTGTGATTGCGGAGTTCAGAGTCGAGATTTCTGAGTTTATGACAGATTAAATGTGATTGAAGTCGAAATATCCGATGGCTTGAAGTCATAGTTTATTCTCCTGACTTCAAAGTCGGAATTGTCGAGTTTAAAATCGGAATTTTTGAGTTTATAACGGAGCTACTGAGTTTGAAGTCGAAATATTCGATGACTTGAAGTCGGAGTTTATTTTCCTCACTCCAAAGTTTTATGGCAGAGTCACTAACTTCGAATTCGAAATATTCATTGACTTGAAGTCCGAGTATATTTTCCTGACTTCAAAAGTGCAATTGTCAAGTTTAGAGTCGAAATTTCAGAGTTCATGACGAATTAACCGAGTAAAGTCACAATATTGAAAAACTTAAAGTCGGATTATATTTTTTCTGACTGAAAAGTAGAAATTGTTGAGTTTGTATAGTTTTATCATATTGCACATTATATACCTTGAAATACCTTTCGAAAATTCTGAGTTAATGACGGAGTCACTCAAGTTTGAAATCGAAATATTCAATGGCTTGAAGTCGGAGTTAATTTTCCTGATTTTATAGTTTGAAACTGTTGAGTTTAGAGTCGAAATTTCTGGGTTTATGACGAAGTCACTAAGTTTGGAGTCAAAATATTCATTGACTTGAAGTCCAAGTATATTTTCCTGACTTGAAAGTTTGAAACTGTCGAGTTCAGAGTCGAATTTTTTTAGTTTATGACGGAGTATATTTCCCTGACTTCAAAGTTGCAATTGTTAGAGACCGAACTCTGAGTTTATGACGGAGTCACTAAGTTTGGAGTCGGAATATTCATTGACATGAAGTCCAAGTATATTTCCCTGACTTCAAAGTTGCAATTGTCGAGTTAAGAGTCGGACTTTCTGGGTTTATGACAAATTAACCGAGTGTAAAGTCACAATATTCAACGGCTCGAAGTCGGAGTATATTTTTCTGACTTCAAAGTTGCAATTGTCGAGTTCAACTACCTGGAAAAACCTACTCCATGGTATTAAATTGCACATTCTTGACCTTAAAATACCTGTAGACTCCGTACCCAGAAACCGTCACCAAAACAGCGATTGCCAGCGTCGAACCCACCGCAATGGGCGCCGTTTCGTCAGCAAAAGCTCTTTGGGCCTTGCACTCGAAGGGCGCTTCGAAGTTCTCGCCCTTGTACATGAAGGGCTGCACCTCCAGCAGCCGCAGGTAGAAGTAAAAATTTCTTCTTCTTGACTTTTAGTTTGGGATAGTCGAGCTTAGTCAGAAAGTCAAAAATGTCTATTTTTGAGATGGAATACCTGGGTTCATGACAAATTTACCGATTTTGAAGTCAGTATTCTTGATGATTTGCAGTAGAAGTTCAGTTTTCTCTACTTCAAGGTTGAAATTGTCAAGTTCAGATTCGGGATTTTTGAGTTTATGACACATTAACTGTGTTTGAATTCGAAATATTCAATGATGACTCAAAGTCATAGTTTATTTTCCCGACTTCAAAGTTGGAATTGTGGAGTTTAGAATCGGAATTTCTGAGTTTACAACGGAGTAACTGAGTTTGAAATCGAAATATTCGATGGCTCGAAGTTCGAGTACATTTCCCTGACATCATAACTGCAGTTGTCGACTTTAGAGTCGGAGTTTCTCAGTTTATGACGGATTAACCGAGTAAAATCACAATATAGAGCAACTTGAAGTCGGAGTATATTTTTCCTGACACTGAAATTGACATTGCTGAGTTTAGAGTGGGAATTGTGAACTTGAAAGCTACTTTTCATGATATTATATTGCACATTCTTGACCTCGAAATACCTGTCGAAATTTTTGAGTTTATGAAGAAGTCACTAAGTTTGAAGTCGAAATATTCATTGACTTAAAGTCCGAGTATATTTCCCTGACTTCAAAGTTGTAATTGTCGAGTTGGAGTCGGAACTTCTGAGTTTATAACGGACTAACCGAGTTTGAAGTCACAATATTCAACGGCTTGAAGTCGGAGCATGTTTTCCTGACTTAAAAGTTGCAATTGTGGGTTTATGACAAACTAACCGAGTGTGAAGTCACAATATACAACGGCTTGAAGTCGGAGTATATTTTTATGACTTCAAACTTGCAATTTTCAAGATTAACTCCCAGGAAAAACCTACTCCATGGTATTATATTGCACATTCTTGACCTTGAAATACCTATACACTCCGTACCCAGAAACCGTCACCAAAACAGCAATGGCCAGCGTCGAACCCACCGCGATGGGCGCCGTTTCGTCAGCAAAAGCCCTTTGGGCCTTGCACTCGAAGGGCGCTTCGAAGTTCTCGCCCTTGTACATGAAGGGCTGCACCTGCAGCAGCCGCAGGTAGAGGGAGCCCCGAAGACCTGGGGGAGGATGGTCGTCTTCGTCGGTGGAGAGGTCCACTTGGATCTCCTTGCAGGAGTAGGACTTGCCCACGGGCGTGGGGATAAGCATTTGTCGGTGGTAGAGCTTTATCGAGGATTTTCCTGCAAAGGGGCAAAGAATTTTCTACAGTTCTTCATTCCTGTAGTTTCCTTAGAATGAATTCTAAGAAGAATTCCAACAGACAGTATTTAATAAATGAACTACTTGAGAAAAGCAGTGGTTCATCTGAATATGTCACCCAATTTGGAGATCAATTATAAAATAGTTATTCATACACCAAGGTATAGTGAAGAATATCATTATTATCCAAGGACCCAGATACTATCCAGAGACTTTCGCCAAGGGGTATAGTATCAGGTCTGGTGGTTATATATTTTGCTATGAGGGTTTTTCAATTGTTTTTTTCTTGCCACTAGCGATATATTTCAATCATTTCAGTTTTGTGCAACTGAAATATGGACCTATTGTCACTATGAATGAACTACACACTGTTTTACGACTAACCAAATTTTTTTACACGACGAAACGTGTTTCGCTAACTATGTTAGCATGTTATGATACTAAACTCTATACAGAGAGCTGAATGGGATAGGTCCATTATCCTTATTCATTACTCTATTACTTTTCCTGAATATCTCTAAGCTTTCATATATGCATCTAATTTTTTGACATCATTAACTTGCTTAACTAATGTGTGTTATGATTGTGATTCATCATGCGTTCGGCTACACACGATTTATCTAACCTACCATATTTCAAATGTGCTAAGTGTTCTTTGAATCTTGTTTTTATAGGATACGCCTGGTTTGGCCTATACAGGGTGTTTCATAATTGAATGCTGATCCTAAAGAGCGATGATCCTTGGATGATTTTAAGGAGAGAAGTTCATAACAACATATGTCCTGAACCTCTTAGTTTCTGAGTTACAGGGTGTTGAAATCAGAAGCGTAGGTACAGCGTTTTTTTAAACAAAACATTCAATATCAGGTCTACGAGGACATCACTGGTAAAAGTGAAAGTTTGATTTTCGTCCCAAAACATAATGTGTTTCCACTTATAGTGGGTGTCTTCTGAATTACCAAAACCAATATCCAAGAACTGAAGGAACAAAATTCTTTGGTTTTTATTTTTTTACGTGAAAACAGTACGTTGTATGGAAGTAAGTCTAAGAACCAAATTTGCTCCAAAATGAATGAGAATTGAAAAAAAAAATCTGGTTCTCAGAAAAATCAGTGGCGTACTATTTTTTTCTTCAAAAATTGTCAGTTCAAACCCCGTACGGACGCCACTGGTGAGAATTTTTAAATATCTTTCACGTAAAAAAATGCTCCTTGATAATGAAAAGGTGTATACAGAATATCATACCAATATCTGAGAGTGATAAAAAATTATGATGAAAAACTCATTTTTTTCTTGAAATTTCATCACCCTGTAGCTCAATAACTAAGAGGTTTAGGACATATGTTGATATGAACTCTTCTCTTTGAAATCATCCAAGGATTATCGCCCTTGAGGATCAGCATTCAATTATGAAACACCCTGTATATGTTTTATTACAATCTTTACAAATAATTTCAAATATTATATCGTATATATGACTAGTAGTTCATGAAATGACGAGAACTACCTTGGTAGTGAAAACACACTTTGCAGCTTGTAGTGGAAAAAATACTATAAGTCCGATTCTGGAACGGTGTATTCTATATTATCTAATTATTGTGATGAGATGATTCACCTATTCCGTGTTTTCGGATCTTCAGGAAGAATCATAGACACATTACAAAAATGAATATTCTCGAAATTATTCCAATCCTTTGGAAAAATTTAAGGTTTTTTCTCCTATGGCATTTCATGATCATTTGATGTATAGGTTTCAACGAAGCTGCATGTTTCGAAATTTTTCCGCTAGCTGATTTCATAAACGCGCAATTGTTTTATGGAAAGTTGACGTTTTTTCATGTCTTTAATTTCAGCTGATATTATGTTCATAAAATAAGAGAGTATATTCATGAAATCATTTACATAGAAAAGCATTTTTTAGTAGACAATGTAATTTGAAAGTTCTGTAATCAAGTGAGGCACTGATGAAAAAATGAAAAAATAATAAAAGAGAATAGAACAATATAAAGAAAACACGATCAACCAATCAAAATTAGCTGAATTAGCTTTTGAACATGGAAAGCATATACTTACAGTAGAGTGAAATTATATTGAAATTTAGGAAGAAACGAATTACAACTGATAAAAAAAATCAAAGAATCCGCTTGCATTGCATCAATTTGGGAAATGTGGTATATCTATCATGAAACACGTTACCTTGTCTTGGAATACCATGGAAAGCTGGTAAATCAGGGCTAACAGTGAGTCCTAAGCTGCTTATGTACCATCTCTCTCCACCAGGTGTCTGAAAAAAAATGTATTTCCTAATATATATAGGTAAGTATATAGACATTGTGGAGATAATAACTGAAAAACTAAATAGGTGAAACAGACATCAAAGTGGGTATGATTTTCCTCATGTAATAGGGTAAACTCAAACAATATCCTCATTGCTCAGATTCGTGGGCTGAAAGATGCAAAATACGAAAAAAAATAATAGTAATTTTTTTCTGTGATATTATGTTATATGCGCATGGGTCGGAGAAACATACCACATGGTCAATTAGGCCAATAAGAACTTAGGAGATGTAATCTATGTTGTGCGACCCATAAGCATAATATTTCACAAAATATAGAGATTTGCATCTTATTTATTCCACGAATTTTCTCATAAGTGGATAAGTGCTCGAAAGAAGCTGAAAAGTACAGATTGCAGGAAGGTCCATGTTCTGCCATCTATTGTTGTTGGTCGTAAGAATATAAAATGGTGCGTATGCCGTTACAGATAACTACTACCTATAGTGACCCTATTTCAGATACTGTAATATAGATGGCAGTACTCATCAAAAACTCATTGATACAATTCAAAATTTCATCTCTGATATTATAATATCTAGTTTTTTGAGTCTAGATAAAATTATGACAAACCTTCGCGAAGTTGATGACCAAACTATATCCAGTCCATGAAATTGTCATAGAAGAAGCATCCTCATTCCTACAGTCCCCATCAATTAGTGCCTTTTCTGGAATAAATGAATCGGCTTGCTCTTCCAAATCATGAAGCCTGAATTTCACCTATAAAAAATAATGAATAATTACCTGATATCAAAATATTGCCGATGGTTAGGTCACACCCAGAGGTTTAGCAGCCTCTTCTCCAAATCTTTTCGTCGGAAAAACCTCTATATGAAAATTCGGCGAGATTTGGAAATTCAAGATGGCGGAACCCATATGGCAGATTTTGTAATTAGGATCCGATTTTATTCAAATTTAGTATCTGGTGGTTCTCGGGGTCGGAGATTATGATTATCTCGTCGAAATTTGGAAATTCAAGATGGCGGAACTAATATGGCGGACGAGTTTTGAAATTATAATCCGATTCTTCCCAAAGTTGGTACCTAGGGGTTTTGAGTGATCGGGGATTATGATTCCTTTGTCAAAATTAAGAAATTCAAGATGGCGGATCCAAAATGGCAGATTTTGTAATTAGGATCCTATTTTATTCAAATTTGGTATCTGGTGGTTCTCGGGGTCGGAGATTATGAATTCTTTTGTCAAAATTAGGAAATTCAAGATGACGGATCCAATATGGCGGACGAGTATTGTAATTATGATCCGACTCTCTTCAAAATTGTTATATCTGGGTGTTTTTGGAGTCGGAGATTATGATTCTTTTGTCAAAATTTGGGAATTCAAGATGGTAGATCCAATATTGCAATATTGCGGACGAGTTTTGTGATTATAATGTGTTCCGATTCTATTCAAAATTTTCATCTGGGGTTTTAGGAGTCGGATATTATGATTCTTTAGTCAAAATTGTGAGGTTAAAGTGAACTAAAAAGAAGTTGAAATTTTTTATGAAGTGTTAGTCTCAGAAGCCTATCTCCTGGGGCCTGGCCCCTTATATAGGTGATCTCGCTGAGGTTACCCAAGTGGCCGGGGGAGCTGATCAGTCGCTATCAGTGGTGAGTGGTTCGTAAGGGGATGGAGGAAAATAAAATTTAAAACTCACTATCGGTGAGATGTAATGAATGCATATACATTTCAGACATTCTATTAAATTTACCATATGGATGTCCAAGACAGATACCATATAGCTGTCCTTGACGAATACCATATAGATGTTCATCACGGATACCATATGGATAGCTAAAAAGTTCAAAACGCTGATATCCTATGGATGTCCATACGTCATCCAATGTATACAAACGCGATATCCTATGGATGCCCGAGATGTACAGAGGAGGATGTCCATTGGATCGAGAGGTATTATTAGGATCATCATTCTCAAATATTCAGAACACCGTGGTTACTTATGGAAATCGTCCGTTGCTATAAGCAACGTAAACAAAAACTAGCCTTATTCTAATCTAATGGGTTGAAGATACAATTATGGAATTTTCTTGAATATTCTTTACCTCTACAAGAGCATCAGTCTTCAGTAGGATACATGTAGCTCCAGTTTTGCTGTTGAACAACCGATAATATGCAACTCCAGAGTTGTCTTTCGGATTTGTGCTGGAAGATGGCGCTGTTAGTGTACCGCTGCCCTCTGTCGTCGAAGTGACGTATTTCGTGTGACGTGGTTTGGATGTGGGCTGGTTCAGAGTCAATCCAGAAGCTACAGATATGAGTATTGTACCTGGAATCAATATTTCTAACATCAGGAATATGAATTCATATTCATATTCATAATCAATATGTAATTCCTGAGAAGTCATTTATTTGAAGTCCAAGAAAGTCACTGGAATGTTCATGAAGTATTTTAGAGGGTATAACATAATAAAATTTGAAAATTTTTTGTCGTTGCTCACTTTTGAGTAATATATAAACATTCATATTTCCGTAATGGTGCCACTGGTAGAGAAAATGAAAATGTTTGTACTTCAGAAAATGCACCTTGATGCATAAAAGACGTGTACCTAATTTCATGAAGATGTATACAATATCGTCCTAGTTATTATCAAAAAACTGAATAAGTTTCAAAACTTCATCACCCTGTATCTCAAATGTTAAGACTTTTAGGACATACGTTCATATGAAGTTTTATTCTTGAAATGAATCAAAGAATCACCCTTTTGAGGAACACCCTGTATAAGTATGACAAAAATATTCAAATGACGTATGCCTGAGACAATTCCAAGAAAAAAGTGTGTCCTAAAATATGTTTCTTTTCGGTGTTGAAATAGAATTTTAGTTCGTTATCTAAAATTATGTACTTCTGCGAAGATTTAGTTTTTCGTACGAAATCTGGCACATTCCTAGGGTTTTTTGAGGTGAGAAATCATAATTTCGTATTATTTTTATGTAGCGCTGAGTACGCTGTCCATGCTGTCATTATTCATTTGAAATTGCCCTAACTTTTTTGACAGTAAACACTTTTCCAAAACATGGTAGGTTCTTGGTCATGAGTTTTTTGCCACTGCAGTTATTTTAATTGAACGTTTTATTATAAAAAAAGTTGTTTTCCTGCAATAAGGGGCATTGCCACCCCTTGATTTTTTACGAAAAATTCAATCCACTCAGATTCTTCCTGTTACCACAAATTATACATCAGTATTGTATCATTACTAGGAATGGAAAAAAAATATTTCCCAAAAGGTATCATATATAAAATACACAGTGTCCCAGCTAAAATGTCCCCCTCTGTAAAAAATCAACCGCGCGATCGAATGACTTGAAATTTGGTCACCCAGTATATTTGATGATGCTCACTCGAAATATGCTATTGAATAAATCGTAGGTATACAGGGTCACACCGAAGTGCACCTCAACTTTCTTGTCTCGATGGTGATAGCATCTGGCCAGCTGGGTCGCCAGACCTCACCCCACTTGATTTTCATTTGTGGGGCTACTTGAAACAACAGGTTCATGAGTCGCCAATTGTGAATATGGAAGAAATGAAAGAGAAAATCACAAATTTATGCGCACAAATTTATCGCAACGTGATATATAGGGTCACAATAAACGTTATCAAAAGAGCTAGGAAATGTCTGCAGCAGAATGGACGACTTATTGAGCAGTTGAGACTTTAATTATTTTCTTTTAATTCGATTTCAATCGTGTTATATTAATAAGATCTAATCATATATATTTGTTGTTGAATCGTTTCATTTTTTGCTATATCTTACGTTTCAAAAAATTCTATCAAACCCAACATTGTTGAATTTGTAATAATGAACTCTACTTGAATATGGAATAATATACTGGGTGTCCCTATTCAAATAGAGAAGTTTAGATGCATTTGACCTGTGACCCTGTATACCTACGATTTATTCAATAGCATATTTCGAATGAGCATCATCAAATATTCAATCGCGCGGTTGATTTTTTACAGGGGGAGGGTACATTTTAGGTGGGACACGGTGTATATCTGATAATAAGGAAGCTCCTAAAATATGAGAATTACAATAAACTAATGAATAACTTATTTTCTGTCATGAGTGATAGTTGTTGATTCGGATACGATGATAAAATTGAAGTGAATCTGGGAATATTTTGCGAAATTGAAAGATGAATCAGAGTATCCCATGCTCCCAAAAAAATTCGGGAACATCTACCTGCTCATGTAACCTACAGACAGAGTATCCAGAATTATTTTTTTCTGCTTTTCTTATTGTTATTATTTTCCGATAATTTTATATCAATTGCAATAAACTGCATGAGAACATGTAACTGAATAATGTATAATATGATAATGTGATGGAGTTGTCAATCTAGCTGAAATTTCATTTTCAATTTTAATTCTCGCCTGCGGCGCATTTCCACCGTGCCAAATTTTGTTTTGAGTTTTTTGACCCTCTTCCTGGTGAACACTGAGATGGAGTTGTCACTCTGAAAGAAATCTAATTTTGAATTTGAAGGCATTTGACCTTGAACCCCAAAAAAATTTCAACACATTGCACAAATATTGTTGTCTTCTTGAGTTTCTTGATCCCCCCTGGTATACACTGAAATGACGCTCCTGAAGGTCATTGAATCATTTTCCCGATTCTGGACAAAGTTGATGGGAGCTTTCGGAAGCCTCTAAATATTATTCAAATTCTGTAGCAGCCTTTGAATATTCATTGAACGTCTTCAGAATTCTTCAAATGTTCTAGCATAGTAGTCAGTCGATATTCTTGGAAGTCATGGGAAGGCATACTGACATTTTCAAACTCAATGGAAATCATTAAAATTCTTTGAAAGCCTTCAAAAGTTGCACAAATTGTTCTAAAGTCTTTGTGGGCATGAGAAGTTATAGTCACTGAATGACTGTAGGAGATATTTGGATTATTTGGAGGCCTTAGGAAATGCCTGAAACCATTTTGAAGTCATCGAAAGTATTTGGAATTCGTTACTTACCTATGGATTTGGATGGACTTTAGAATTCTCCAGAAATCGTTGGAAGACAGTGGAATCCATAAAGTAATTGGGAGTATTCGTAGGTCCCTAAAATTTTTGTAACCATGCTCGTCAACATGGAACCCTTTAAAATTTACTGAAACTTTTTCTAAATTCTTTTGGAGTATAATTGAAATACTTTGAAAGCTTTCAAAAGTAACTGGAATAATAATCATTATGTTCTAAGTCTTTAGGAGTGATTGAAGAATTTTATAATTCTTATGAAGCCTTCGGAGTCACTCCATGTAGTCATTGGAAGTTTCGTTCTCTTCATTTTTCCATTTTTTATCTCTTGGAGCGCATGATAGGAAATTCCAATAAAGGGAGAACAGGGAGAGACAGTAAGTGTTGGAATTTCGATCAAAGAGGTATACAAGTGACAGGTGTCAGACTTTTTTATAGCCCAATTAAGGCTTACCTATACCATCGTAATGAAGCTGCATATTGTAGCAGAAGAGGGAATCAATTATCTATTATCATTATCTCGTGAAAAATTGCATGTCTCATAGTAAAAATGGTTTCGAATATACTCACAGATCACAAAAAATTCCACAGAAACAACCATCCCAATTGGCGCCATGATGTTAGGCTCGGGTAGCACCTTTCGCAGGCTACATCAACGTTTCGACTGTTGCAGGACCCTCTGGCCTTCGCAAGGTCTTCTGACGTTTCGAACGCTAGTGCGCATGTGCCATCGCGTCATCAATAACGTCGCGCATGCGCTGAAGTATCAGGCGTAGGTGGTACAATCTGTTTCGGGGAAATAACGTAACATTTTGTTATTTCAACTACGCCTGCGTTGGTGGAAATGGAAAATGACGAAGCAAGCGTAGGCGACGAGTGACGATCTCGGGGAAAATCGAGAGGGTGGAGGGTGGATTGGAAAATCGCACGTGTGGGACGATGTGATGAGGTAATAAGGGTATGGGACAGGATCGAATAAAATTGTTAAAAATCAGATAATATAACTCCTCATTTGCTGAAAATATCTCTGATGGATTGATCCAAAATCATTCAGGTACAGTATGAGTCACGGGCTATAAAACAATATTCAGAGAGGCCCATTGAAAACGAAACAGGACCAGAACCAGATTATGAAAAAACACTGGAACACGTCATCTACATTTCCGAGGGGCACATCGTTCTAAAATATTGTCAGCGCTACGGCGTTGCCGCTTTTATCAAAAAGTCGCAACAACTTTGTTATTTCAAATGGAACACCCTGTATTTCATTGCATATTCAGATTCTCCCTGAAGATTTGATTTCAAAAACAATGTATCATACTTGGGGTCTAGCGGGAATGATTACAGAGATGCGTGGGGTGTTCAAAATCGAGATTTTTCAACTTTAGGATTTTTTAAACGTCTCATCATGTTTTCAGCTCTTCAGAGATTCTGAAACCCAGATTTAGCCATCATCAAAGGTTTTCGAAATCCCAAATAAAAAATATTATCTTGTTATTGATAATTTTTTGTTTTGTTCGTTGTTCCTCAAGCACTAGCAGAACTGTCTTTTATTTTTTGTTGTTGTGTGGTGATTTGTTTTAGTATTACCGGGTTCTTGCTCTTTTTTTTCGCACTACCTAATTCATATTTTTGTTAAATATAATATTTTGACAACAAATATTATGGAAACCATTTATTATACCTATACGTAGGTACATATCTCGGTACATATGTACTCTCTTGGTATGTGTGTACGCACCAACTGGCTATTGACATTACGAGAACTACTTTAGTACATGTGTGTTATTTGTAGGCTTGTTACTGATCCCATACGCCACCTTAGGCGCTACACTAGAAAGCAACAGTGAATCGTGAAAATGAAAATGTAACTCGTTTTTTAAATAAAAATTCTCTGCTCTGTCGGGATTGGATCCAGAAAATATTTGATGTCCTATTCCGCCGTTTCCAAAAGTGAGCAGGAAAATTCCTATTAGAAAGTCATATAGGATATTGGGGGCCCGTATTTTTGCTCGGGCTTTGGTTGGGCCCAACTGAATCAAAAATAGACCTGCTTGATGAAACAGAAAACTAAAAACTATCTCATCATGTCCAAACGTGAGATTTTAGTAGGATATCATTTTAATATGCAAATGTCACATATTACCAATAGTACTTAGGACTGACTTCTGGTATGTTTCAGAAGTGGAATATACAATTTTTTTAAAACTCAATCATTTCCTTTCAATGCAGAAAAAAGTGCACTTCTTTTAACATTCAGAAAAAAGTACTTACCCCCGAAACTACCTATCTAAAGGACGTGACGGGCAAAGGGCGGAAATGAAGTTGCATGCATCAATGGGGGATGAAAAAGGGCACTTTGCAAGGGCGGGTAATTAATTGGACTTGTACGTAACTCCAAAATTACAGCATACTACGCCAAAGGGCACCTATTAATAGCCGGATATAAATTAGAGCAATACTCCCTTAGATCAGGTGATTATGTCGTGAGTAATCAGTTTATCAACTATGGGATATAGGGGTGCTTCAACCTGAAGGGGTAGATATCTTCTTGAATTATTTTTCCAATTCGATAATATAGCTCGTGTTATGGAGTACATAGAATCTCTGAAGGCGAAAATCAAAAAAATATTACGGCGATCAATTTCAATAGGTACCTACACGGAAAAAAAGGAATTGTTGAATCAAGCAAAATTTAATTGAATGAAGCAAATATAAGTGGCATTTTATATGCACGACAAAATATAATCTTGAAATGAGTGAATCTATATCTTGTTTCAGAGCGAATTTGAAGTTTGAATCAAGTAAATATGTCTTGCATGAACTCTGGATCTTATTCAATCAAGCAGATATTGAATTAGCTCAAACAATCATTTTGTTTGATTCAAAATAACAAGATATCGATTCAATCAAATATTTAGTTGGTTCAATAAAATATTTGGTTGATTCAAAGTAATATTTGGTAGATCCAATGACGTATTTGGTTGATTCAATGAAATATCTGTTTATTTAATTCGATGAAATATTTTGTTGATCTATTGGAATATTTCGTTGATTCAAGAGAAACTGTGTTTGCAATTTGCATTCGACAATTTTTTTTTGTTGAACCAAATTTTTTTTTTTTACCGCTTGGACTATTTATTCGGGAATTTTTCTGAAATTCCACATCAATAGAATAAAATAAACTAAACTAGGAAACTAGTCGACTTCTAGCATAGATCTCCATCTCCAGTTTTTACTTCTCTTCTCTTCTAGCTGATATTTCAAACACGAAGAATCAGTCTTCACGTATATAATGTATTCGAGGCATCAGGCATAGACGAGGCGAAAAGATCGCCATCTAGAGGCGAAAATTTAAATTCATTGATATTACATGTTAAGCTGCTCAATTCAAGTAAATGATTCGTTCGAAACGAGTTCATTGTGAGTTGTTCCAAAGATAAATTCTTATCAAAATGATGATTATTTCATAAAATCAACAAAATGTTTATAGTTGAATCAACATCGACATCATTTTGGTTCGACATAAATTGTTTTTGACATAACCATATATTTTGTTGATGAGATTGATATTATACTGTTGATTTGATTAAACTACATTCTCGATTTGAACAAGCTGCGTCCATGAAATAATCATGTAGCTGTTTGATTCAACAAAAAACTGCTCAGTCCAACAAAAATATTTCAAGCATAAATAATTTGTTATCATTTTCGGAATCTTATTCTTAACTTATTTCCTGTATGAATTTACGGTTTCATGGAAATGCCCATGTTGAACTATTTTATTTTATTCAATTTTAATTTCTCATTTTGTCTTATTTGCTGTATGAACTCACCCTATATCATGAAACAGCAAAATAGCAATCAGGGGTAGCAACATTCATTATGTTAACATTGTTCCAAGCATGTAATTACTCTGATTTGGTTGTTTCTCTCATTCGCTGAAACTGACCACAATATTCGCAGCATAATTCACAACGACCGTATATTATCAGAGGGTAGGTGAAAGAGGTCATGCAGATATACATATTGTCTGGGTCAGAGGTATTATTATTAGGTCTCTTTGTTTACGTCAACAGAGTTCGATATTTTAGTTCCGAACGACCATTTGGCATTTGATTTGGAAACATATGTTCGCCAAATACCTTTATATTGCCAATAGGAGCATTTCGGTAGGCTACTACGTCTCCATTTTTCAAAATTTCACGATTTCCACCACAGATTCGTTCATTATTTTAGGACACCGAATTAGTCCATGTGAATTTTTTCTGATTTTCAAAAAGCCAAACAACATTTTCATTTTCCCACCTGAGACTTCGGTACGATATAGTCACCAAACCATCTTCGGACGGCCGGAGGTGTCAGAAAACGGCGGAAATCCAAGCGAATCATCGCTTTTCCAATAGAAAATGACACGTTGAATCGAATGAGACCATGATCAGCCCGATAGGACAGATAGTTTTCGAGATATCGACGCTCAAAGTCAGCTGTCCGCTTTTATTGCCAATAGGAGCACTCCAGTAAGCCACTACGTCCCCATTTTCCAAAATTTCCTGATTTCCACCACAGATTCGTTCATTACGACATCGAATTAGTCTATGTGAATTTCTGTAGATTTTCAATAGGTCGAATAAAAATTTTCATTTTCCCACCTGAGACTCCAGTACGATATAGTCACCAATAAACCATCTTCGGACGGCCGAAAGTGCCAGAAAACGGCGGAAATCCAAGCGAATCATCGCTTTTCCAATAAGAAATAACGAGTTGAATCGAATTTGACCATAATCAGCCCGTAAGGACGGATAGTTTTCGAGATATCGACGCTCAAAGTCATCTTTCCGCTTTTATTGCCAATAGGAGCACTCCAGTAGGCTACTACGTCTCCACTTTCCAGAATTTCTCAATTTGCATCACAGAGTCGTTCATAACGACATCGAATTAGTCTATGTGAATTTTTTCAGATTTTTGATAGGCCAAATGAAAATTTTCATTTCCCCACCTGAGACTTCAGTACGATATAGTCACCGAGCCATCTTCGGACGGCCGAAAGTGCCAGGAAACGGCGGAAATCCACGCGAATCATTGCTTTTTCAATAGAAAATGACACGCTGAATCGAATGAGATCACGATCAGCCCGATAGGACACATAGTTTTTGAGATATCGACGCTCAAAGTCAGCTTTCCGCTTTTATTGCCAATAGGAGCACTCCGGTTGACTACTTCGTCTCCATTTCCCAAAATTTCCGGATTTCCACCACAGATTCTTTCATCACAACATCGAATTAGTCTATGTGAATTATTTCAGATTCGTAATAGGCCAAATAAAAATTTTCATTTCCCCACCTGAGACTTCAGTACGATAAAGTCACCGAACCATCTTCGGACGGTCGAAAGTGCCAGAAAACGGCAGAAATTCACGCGAGTTATCGCTATCCCAGTAGAAAATGACACGCTGAATCGAATGAGATCATGATCAGCTTGATAGGATACATATAGCTTCTAAGATATCGGCAATCAAAGTCAGCTCTTCGCTTTTATTGTCAATAGGAGCACTCCGGTAGACTTCATTTTCCAAAATTCCCCGATTTCCCCTACAGATTCGTTCACTACGACATC